ATTACAGTAAAAATGCATTATTTAAATAGCTGAAATTTACCTTGTGAAATTCCCTTTGCTTGTGAAAATACACAAGTTTGCATAGTCCCTGAAGATACTCAATTGAAATTTTTCTGTTGGGGGCTGGGAAATGGTTTATTGTCATCTGGGTGTGACAGCTTATCCCAGCTCTGGGGAGGTGGAGAAAAGAAGATTCTTGGGGCTGTTGGCCAGGTAGTCTGCCCAGTCTGTTAGTTCCAGGTACAGTGAAAGTCCCTGCCTCAATACATAAGATGCTTGAGAGCTGGAGGAAGACACTTGGCACCATGCTCTGGCCTCCACACGTGCACACACAGATCCTACTGATTTTCAGTTAATCTTTATAATTTTAGCTGCTTAGACTGAACCTAGAGTTTTACACATATGTAAGCTTGTTTGTTTTGTAGCCCAGGCTGGCATTTAACATGTGCTTTTCTTGCCTCAAGCTCCCAAATCCTAGGATTACAGTTATGTACCACCACAATGGGGGTGGGAGGGTGCTGTGGGATGGTCTGTATGTCAAATGTGTTGCTGATTGGTCAATAAATAAATCACTGATTGGTCAGTGGCCAGGCAGGAAGTATAGGCGGGACAAGGAGGAGAAAAAACTGGGAAGTGGAAGGCTGAGTCGGAGAGACACTGCCAGCCGCCATGATGACAAGCCGCATGTGAAGATGCCGGTAAGCCATGAGCCATGTGGCAAGGTATAGATTAATGGAAATGGATTAATTTAAGCTGTAAGAACAGTTAGCAAGAAGCCTGCCACGGCCATACAGTTTGTAAGCAATATAAGTCTCTGTGTTTACTTGGTTGGGTCTGACGGCTGTGGGACTGGCAGGTGAGAGTGATTTGTACTGACTGTGGGCCAGGCAGGAAAACTTTAGCTACAGGAGGGAGCATTTTCATTGTAGAAAATGGACTGTTCGGAGCCTCCAGAAGTTCAGACACACTGTTCTAAAAGAAACTTGGAAATAAGCTCTCATATAATAACTGATAGGACATGTAACAGCTCCTACTGTTTCTAGGATTTGATATCTATTGAAACATGCACAGAAAGCTTTGAGTGTATGTATACAAACTTTCAGAATAAACTCACTTATTATCTGAGAAGATCATACTGATGGGTGAAATTGGTAAAGTATTGGTATTAGTACAGTTAGCCATTTTACTACCCATAATATCAATATCATTCAAATATATATATATTTTTTGAAACAGGGTCTCTCTGTGTAACAGCCCTGGCTGTCCTGGAACTCACAGAGATTGCCTGCCTCTGCCTCCTGAGTACTGGGATTAAATGTGTACACCACCACTACCTGACTGAAAATAATTCTTATAATTGCAAATCCCCCTGGGATTTAGGAAGTGAGGATTGTGAAAAGTTAACAATTTTTAAATCAAGTTTATCTAGTTGAACTACTTTATCTAGTTGAGTATTTCTATTGTGTATAAGTAGCTCAATTTATAGAAATCTAGTTGTGTATTTGTAGCATTTTGCTCATGTACTATTACTGAACATCTCTAAGCTATTCCTACCCCTCTTTTTAACCTTCCTAACTTTCCTTGAAACTTTGTGGCTTAACTGCTTTTTTATGTATTCTGCTGTCATAAACTTTATGTTGGAGTGGTAGTGTTAGCAGGGCTCTAGACTGGCCATGTATGCTTTTTGAAACACATCAAGTCCCATAGTTCTTACAATAAAGGATTTTGCTGCTTCCAGTTCAGGATCTTTATCTTGGTCAACAGGAAATCTGTTCCTTTAAGACTTAACATCCCCAATTCAATATGTAGGCCGTTTGGTATATTGTCTTTCTTTAAAGATGTCAGTCAATTTATTCTCTTTAGTCTCTGAAGCCTGATGTCTCAGTGGATTTTTTATGATTCTCTAGGAAGTCTGAGGATAGACTTTCCTATAATCCTCTCTCTTTTCAAACTAACCTGTTCAAAACATTCCAATCTGTTTGTGAGTAGACATAGTGAAGGTATATCTCTGTTACAGAGATCTGCATCATAGGTTAATTCCTTGTTAGTCCCTGTTTTAGTTGGGGTTACTGTTGCTCTGATGAAACACCATGGCCCCCCCAAAAAAGCATGTTTCAGGGGGAAAGGGTTTATCTGTCTTACACTTCCACCTCACAGTTCATCATCAAAGGAATTTAGGGCAGGAACCTGTAAGCAGGAACTGATGGGGAGGCAGGGAGAAGTTCTCCTTACTGGCTTGCTCATCATGACTTGCTCACCCTGCTTTCTTATAGAACCCAAGACCACCAGCCCAGGGATGGCACCACCCACAATGGTCTGGGTCCTGCCAATCACTAGTTAAGAAAATGCCTTACAGCTGGATCTTATGGAGGCATTTTCTCAATTGAGATTCCTCCTTTCAGATGAATCTAGCCTGTGTTAGATTGACATAAAACTAGTCAGCACAGTCCCTTATGGACAGCTGCTCTGGCCAAGTAACCTCTCTCTCTCTCTCTCTCTCTCTCTCTCTCTCTCTGTCTGCCTGTCTGTCTCTGTCTGTCTGTCTCTGTGTTTCTGTGTCTGTCTCTGTCTGTCTCTGTCTCTGTCTGTCTCTGTCTCTGTCTCTCTCTGTCTCTCTCTCTCTCTCTCTCTCTCTCTCTCTCTCTCTCTCTCTCTCTCTCTCCCTCTCTCTGTGTGTGTGTGAGAGAGAGATTATTGTGACCTATACATAACATAGAATTTATCATTTAAATCAGTTTTATTAAGCACTAAACAATTCACATTGTTGGAAACTGTCACCATATCCATCTCCAGAACTTTTTGATCTTCCCAAACGGGAAATCTGTACCCATTACACATCACCCTTCCCCACCCCACTCCCTTCTCTTCTCTCAGCCTCTGGCAGCTGCTCTTCTAACTTTTAATATTTATGAATTTAATTATTAGGTGTCACATATTAGTAGAACCTACTATCTTAGTTCTTTGATATCTGCTATCTGGCCTATTTTACTTAAGATAATGTCTTCAAGGTTCATTCCTTTTCCTCATGTCCCTGCCTTTTTAAGAATAAGTAATATTCTTCATGTGCACATTGCACACTCTGTTCGTCCAGTGACAGCCGTTGGACTTGCTTCCACCTTGTGGCTGTTGTGGACAATGCTGCTGTGAAAATTGCACATTAATTTGTACACATTGTTGTACAGATATCTGAGTTACCACCTTCACTTCGTGATGGAGCTTAGATACCCAGCAGTGAGCTGTTAGATCATTCTGTCTCTATGGGTTTAGAAGCCTTCCACACTGTCTCCCATACTGCTTCTGCTTTGTGCCTGTGTTGGTGACAGGAAGATGGTAGTAGGAAGGAAATTCATTGGACTTTTACTGTCTTGGGATCCTTTTTGTTTAAGAAGACCTTAAAAGGTTGATGGGGGACATCCATGGGAAACATTTCACCTCCTGATGATGAATATTCTTATCAATTTGAAATGTTGGCAATTGTGAGAGTTAAGCTTTTTGTGCTTAGTGTGACATAGGTCACTGAGGAGCAAGGACAAACTCTCCCTCTCCTAGTAGCTACTCTTTAGAGACTGAAGACGCTTCATAAAAAGATTATCTCAGGAATGATATATCCATGTGATAAGACACTTGGCTTCCAGGTATAATAATAAGGCTAGATTCTTCAACATGGCTCCCAGGGACCTAAGTCTGAAAAGTAGCATCAGGGATTACTGCATCTGAGAGACCTACCTTAGCCAGTGTCACACTCCAGAGTCAACTTGCCTCACCCCTGGACAGGGCAGGTTGCCTCCCAACTCGCACACATGAAAGCTAAGTACTCAAAGAGCATTTCCTATTCTCCAGACCTGCCCAGGCCGTTTTATGTCAGCACTTCTTATTGGACGTAGTCAAAGTAGTATGTCCACCCTCACACCTTGAACCAGCAAGCTCACTATTCATTCTAAAACACATGATTACTTCATTTTTGTTTCATGAAAGCATGCCAGCCCTGCCCTTGGCCAACTCTCCAGCTTCAGCTAACAATCTTATCCTATGGCCTTAAACTCACTTTGGTTCAGTCTTTAGGCAAAGTTTATTTAGAGAAAGAATTAGAGAGTAGTAGCTGAAGATGACGCACTCCTCTCCCACTCTAGGTTGAAAATCCTGACATTCATTTGTCGCCTTGATTCAGCCAGATTACGTACAAGAGGGAAAAGAGAGGAATAGTTTTCCTGACCCCTCTGGATCAGCATTTACTGGGTTTCTTGGATCCCAGCTTCCTTCAAGTGGTGTTGCAGTGCTCAGCCCATACAAATCCCTACTGTATAGTACACAGATGTCTTCTCTTAGCCTCTGGAGTCAGTGACCTATTTGTGATAGGCCCCAGGAGAAATGCCACCTAGCTTCAGTGCCAAGAATAGATGTTCTCACCTGAGCAATTGACAGGCTGTGATCCAGTACCCACACCGCAGGAAGCCATGTAGCACAGCCACAGTCAGGCTCCAGGACAGACCTCTTTAGCCTCAATTTTGTGTTGTCAGTAATCCTGTTTTTCCCTCACTAAATTTTCACTGTTTTTTTTTGTGTTATTTCCTTTAGATTATCTAAGTTTTTATAAGCTACTTTAGTCATTGACAGAATAAATGACACCTGAAAATCATTGTGCTCATTTTTTTTCTTTTTTGAGAATTTAGAGGACAAAATGTATACCGTTGACCTGTTTTTAGGCAGCTGTAATGTGCTCCTTGTAGTTGTATCAGAACCGCTCTTCAGAAATCCAGACTGTCCTGTGCTGTTGAGATATTAGTGTCTCCATCATCTCTGCATCCCTATGAACTGGTGCTGTGCTTGCCTGTAGCAGATGCCCAGTGAACATCCCTGAGCAATTTAAAGAAACAGGGCCTGCCACTCCTAAATGTTCCTACCATCACATCCAGTGGACACTGAGAAGCAAAGTGAAGACACGATGTTCCTGAGTTGGCCTCCGCTTGCACCTCTGATGCTCTCTTTCTCTTTCTTTGCAGACTCACATTTCAAGACTCCCTCCTGGTGCTGTGGCAGGACAGTCAGTTGCAATCGAAGGCGGGGTGTGCCGCCTGGAGAGCCCAGTGAACTGACTCTGGGCTGAATACGAAGTGTCTGAGAGGCATTTCAGAACCTGAGCTTTGGGCTATTTAATTGAAGTTGGGTGTTTTATCTTGCTTGTTTTGTAAATCCTATTGCAACCTCGGGCACTGCTTGGGACACAAGTGCTGCTATACTTAGTGCTGGTTGACACTCGAGTCTTTGATGGGTGAGCGGGAGCATGTGTGGGTGTATATCTGTGTGCAGTTTGTGTGCTTGCTTCTCCCTGATGGGGTAGGATCTCCTCAAGTGTAACCTATGACTGAGAATGATCAAATCCTTACAAAATGTGTGCTTTAACTGTTTACAAGTAAAACCTAAAATTGTAGAAAACTTTAATTTCATAAAAAGGTACCACTATGGTTGATACAATGTGTCTGAACTGAAGAGTGAATCTGCTTGTTTAATGACTTGACCTTCATTGTGGTCCTTTTAATAACAGTAATAACAGTAATCAGTAATATGGTGTCAGTTTAAGTGGATGGTGTGGTAACTTAAACTGTTGTTCTCATCCCTCATACAGGGCATTTTTCCTTGAACAAAGAATGGTTTCAGTGAAACAGTCTAGTGGAGAATTAAGGTCAGAACCTTTTAAAGTAATAGTCTTATTGATAAAGTTTGTACTTCTCTCCTGAGCTATTTGAAGCTTAAGTATTGCATAGCTTTGCGCCGTGTGTACTATATTATGAAAGAATATGTAAAGAGAGTGTTCAGTAATGCACAGTCTTAATTTGTGTATAATGGAATGTTATTTACAATGTAACACTGTAAATAAGAAAGCAAAGTTTATGGGAAAATTCAATATTATCTTTGTTTCTCGTTTAAATATATTTTTAAGATAAAGGTACAAGAATAAAAAGCATATTACTGGGTATAATGTGTGACTGCTTGTCGCAGACTGATCTTTTGAATCCTAGACTGGTGACTTGTGTTTTCTTTTCTTTGCAAAAAAAAAAAAAAAAAAAACTTCTTCCAGAATTACATTATTGCCCATCTTGCTAGCCTGGCTCCATGATGCTGCAGTCAACACTAGTAAGAAGGAAGTCAAACGTAAGGTAATTCAAGTCTCTGTCTAGAAACACTTACAATTTCCATTGCAACTTGATGAAAATAACAAAGCAAATGAGCAGAAACACTTCACTTTGAACAGTTGGAGTGGCAGCTGAAAGCGCAATCGTGGTGGTTGATAAATTGCTCCTGAATGTTATATTTAGAGACTCTGGAGCCACAAAAGAAAACCCAGACTTTCTTTTTCTTTCTTTCTTTCTTTTTTTTTTTTTTTTTTAAATGTAAGAAGTGGTTATCAAGAAGATACTAAAGATAGACTTGCTCAGGGGGAGGAAGTTTCCCTGTAACATATAATCAGGGCTCTGGGCGGTAACTGATAAAGCCTCAGATGAAATTATATACTTGACATGGATGTATGGCCAAATTATAAAGGAAAGACAACCAAAATGAAGAGGATGTAAATATGAATGATTTGAGAGTTGCTGATTTATATTCCTTGTACGGGCAATTACATTTGTCTCGCTATGTTCTTGTAGACAGGTTGGTGCCATAGTATCTGTTTCTCATTCTTAATGAGTCCGAGAACTTAGTAAGAGATGGACTGGCTGGTGGGGAGCCTTTGGTTTCAAATACTTTCAAAGACCTGTTACCTGTTGGCAGAATTTTTTTTAGGAGCCTGACTGGATCACATAAAACTATGAGGACATATGGAGTCTGAGAATCCTCTGACCGATTTCACCAGGAATGCCAGTTCTTTCATCTCCTGACTCACTCTATTCATTCTTAAGAGTCTGACTTTGTTTAAGATCCCTTTCATGAACAGTTTCAAAACTGGTCAGCACAATAGGATACCATGCCTCTAAGAACAGTCTGTCGAGACTATTCTCCAGTACTCTGAATAGTTCGTTGTAAGAGATATTGTGGAGTTTGCAGGGGGAAAGTGCTATGCAGAATCTTGGAGGTAAAAATGAAGTGTGTTTATGAATTCTTTCATTATACAATCATGTTCAGTTTCAGGTACTGAACCCAAAAGATATCAACAGATGTAAAGTAGACTTCACACAAAAGTAAGAAAGGTCGAAGTAGATAAGAAAATAACTTTATTTTCCTATTCACAGATATGACCCAGGCCCTCAAACTGTATTTCAAGAAGACTGCTTTTAATGTGGTTGACCTTGACGATTAGCCTATATTCAGTCTTTTTAGGAGCCAAGAATTAGATGCTTTAATCTCTTTGTACAATAAAACCTGGTCTGGATTCCATGAGGCCATCACTGTAACCCTGCTCTGAGTTTGAAAATGGTACATCTCCAGGACTTGGTGAGAGCCAGGCTATGAACACTCCTCACACAGGTGGTACACTGTGCTCTCCAGGACAGTGGTGACCATGTGACTTTGCCATCCTTGCTTGTTTCCTCCAGGGTCTGCCTGGGGCAGGCTCCTTCTTATATTTTGATCCCTACTAGTAAATGTGAACTTGATCTGGGATATCTGCTTATATGTCTGTTGGAATTGTATCTGCAATATGCATAACTAAGTACCAGATGTTAATTTATAGCACTTCTTTAGGAGCAAAGGGAATTAATTTTGGTTTACAGATATGAGGGCATCTCCTTAGGCTGTTCACAATCCCTATATCATGATTGTTCTTCTGACACAGTGGGTGGAGGGAAAGGACATCCTGTCTTTTCCTAATTTTAATGAAAATACTTTGTTTTTCTCTATTTAGGATAATGTTGGCTGTGAGCTTCCCGTATATTCCTTATATTATGTTGAGATATGTCCCCAATAGTCCTATTTTCTCAGAACTTTTGTTATTGAATGAAGTTGCATTTTGTTGAAGACGTTTTCTGCAGCTGATGAGATGGTCTTGTATGTTCTGTCCTTTAATCTATTTGTACAGTGGGTTGTTTATTCAGGAATAAACAATTTCAGGTTTCTTTAACCTGAATACAGTGTTCAATTTACAAATGTTGAACCATCCCTGCATCTCTGGAATGAAGTAGACTTGATCACAATGGATAAATTTTTGATGTGTTCTTGAATTTTTCTGCTAGCTTTTTTTAATCCTAGAAATGTATATTTTTTAAAATGCACAAAAGCTAATTGGCATAGTATTAAACTCACTCCTGATGACCTACAGTTTTATCCTCATAGATTAGTACAACCCAGTCCTCATCAGAGAAGCTTCTGTTTGCAGTAGATGGCAATCAGCACAGAGACCCACAACTGGCCTAGGTGTAGAGAAAAAGAGCCTCGGTATCCTCAGCTCTAAATGGGGCATCTTAGGAAGACATCATCTTTGTCTTTAGACTATGTTTTTTCAGTGTGCCCCAAACAACTAAAGGTGAATATCTGCATCTCTGTGCCAGACGATATCTCTGGGAAGCATGGAAACTTGCCATCTCTATGCATAGCAGGCCATAGGTGTCAGAAAATTATCACTTCCCCAAAACAACTCCAGATGTGCCATCAAAGTTGAGAAAAATCTGCATCTCAGTCAGTTGGCAGGCCCTGTACTGCTGACATTTGAACATTTTTAAGGAGATGATGGATATGTGGCCTCTAAAGAGCAACTTATCCAGGACTTCCACAAGGCCTGGTGTGCATCTTAGAACAGATCTAGAATTATATTAACAGACATTGGAGGAAATATTAAGGAAATATTAAGGGACTTTAGAGCCCAGACTGGTTGCAGAGTACTATGCCGTGTACACATCTCATGATGACCATCTAATAACAACCTCATATGAAACTCATTTCGAGGTGGCATCTTTGAAGCTGGGTGTGGTAACCAGCACATGCCCATAAGCTCAGCAATCAGCATGTGAGAGGCTAAGTCAGGAGGATCATGAGTTTAAGTTCAGCCAAAGCTACACAGTGAGACCTGCCAGGGCGTTTTGCAAAAAGTTGTGTTTAATTCTTGGATAGAAGACCTCAAAGGCAATCTAGATGATAGCTGTTCTTCCTTCCTAGGAACATTGGCACAAGAGAAGACTGAGCCCAGAAGAAGTAAACCCTTGTGTATATTATAAACCTTTTATAGAATCCTATTAAGAGGAAAAGCATATGATTGGGTGGATGTCATGGGCTATTAGTGAGAATGAATGGCAGATTGGCAGTATAAAACTATTCCTTTTAAATTCACATTTGTTCTGGGACATTAAGAATTCCTTAGTAATGCACAGCCTTTCCTCAACATAGTTTGGGTTCAAGTTCTATGAGGCATTAGCCCAGATGTCTGTGATCAGAGAGACTGACCAGACTGACCGGGCAGTTTTTCTTTTCCCACAAGCTGCAATCCAAAGGAAGGATTAAATCTAACATTGGCCAGCGCTTCTCTCCAAGGAGCCCACTCAACCTCCAGAAGCCCATCAGCCAAGCCCTAGGTGGTTTACCATGACTAGTTGTGGACAGTGTGGAGGGAACGTGGTTTCTCCTTTACATGGTGCTGATATCAAAGCCCTAAACCACAGCAGGCAAAACCAGGGGCGGGCGAGAGACCCTGCCATGCACGGCCATAGGGGTTTCTCTGATAAACAGCCTCAGAAGCTGGAAAAAGAAACACTGAAATAACCCCCTCTAAATTCTATTACATCAGTATCTAAAGAGTACCTCTTCGAGTGGCCTCTTTAAATCTTGGAAGAGCCATCAGTACTTAAGAGCGAAAGGATTTATTAAGAAAAACTAGGCATCCACCTGCCTCATGTGTTAAGATTTTAATTTTTGTCCCCAAACCCGTTAACCATGCTCTCCTCTCTAGTTAATGCTAATTCCATCCTCTAGGTGCTCAGGCTGAAACTCTTGGGTCATCTATTTGACAATCCCATGGCTGAATAATTCACCCTAGACTTTAGTAGCTTTAAACAATTTGTTCCCAGTTCTGTAACTGGGCTTGGCTTTCCTCTGTGGATTTTCTGCTGTTCTTGCTGGTAGTCCCTGATGTGCTTTGCTCAGTTGGAGCATGACCTAGAGGTTGGACCCATCTAGTATACTGGTGTTTCATTCTTCCTGCGTGCTCAGGGCTCCTCTTTGTAATCTGTCCATGCCACCTACTTGAAAGATCACAAGACTTTCAAGAGTACAAAAGCAGAAGTTGCTTCGGACTAAGGTTTGGGTGCAGACTGGCCCAGCATCACTTTTGTTACATAATTTACATCAAGTTGCCTGGGACAACACGGGTTCAAAAGAAAGGAACTGGAGAAGGGCATTAATACCAGAAGCTAAGTTCACTGGTTTCCTTGAATTTTTACTTCTTTCCTATTCCACAATCAGTCCACCAAGTGAGTCTCATTGTCCCTGCTTTAAAGTACATCCTGAGTCCAGCTACTTACCATCTCTACTGATAATATCATCTGTTTGCCTGAGTAATTACAATGGACTCTTCACTGGCCTCCCTGCTTCCATTTTCCACTTTCCCCAACAGTCAGTTGTTCACTGGAGCCCAAAGTACTAAGATCATGGTTATGCCATTATTCAGTTTTTATTGTACTTTGCTTTTTAGTCCTTCAAAATCCTGGAATTAACTTTCCCTTGTTCTATGACCTGGCCTTCTGTTCCCTTGGTTACTCTGCTCTAGCCACCCTGGCCTTCTTGCTATTCTTGCAGCATGTCAGAACTATTACATATGATTATATTCTACTTAGAAAATACTTATTTATTTTTGAGTCGGGGTCTTTCTACAGTAGCCCAGGCTGGCCCCAAACTTGTGATCTTCTGCCTTACCTCCCAGTATGATGAGGTTACAATAAAGCATTACGGATGAATCCACATGGGTTGGTTCTCCATTTCCTTCAACTCTTTGTTGAATATCACTGTATTTGTTATTTTTCTCATTCTGTGACAAAGTACCTGAGAAGAAGCAACTTAGGAGAGC